CAAACTTCTGCTTGATATCCTTATGATACTTATAGTGGGGTCAGAAGATCCAAGATCTGTGTATTCAGAGTCGATTATTACATCTTTTACATGCAGAAAACATTTCTACAACAAAGTGCTGACAAATGGGTACTTTTGTGCAAGATGAGAAATGGAGGATTTGTAGTCTTATTGAAAAATATTTTCACCTATTGTGTCATATCCCATATTTATAAAACCCTTGGGGACAGGAGCATAGAAGTATGTGTAACAGCACTTGTGTCCCTTTGTGTTTTAAGTGAAATGTTACAATGGGAATTTCTAGCCCTGAGCAAGTTTCTGTTTGGTTTTACTCAGTCCTTTACAGGCAAAGGGGTCTGAGAAATATGGACTGAGATTGGGTCCTTGGGAGAAATATGTTACTGGGAGCCTTTGATAGAATCAAGGAGTGCTCAGGCTCCTGATTTCGGGGGTTCTGCACCATGTTATTTTCTAAAGTTTTTATCGAAGTGTGACAGATATAGAAAAGTGTACAAATCAGGAGTTTTCGCAAATTCCTCCACAGTTGTCAGCAGAATGTAAGGTGTGAGCAATCGTGCTGTGGATGGCACTGTCAGTGAAAAAAACCTCTAAGAGGCAGTGTACCTCTTCAAACAGCTGGGGCCCGCGCCTGCGTGTTTGGAAGCCCGCCACTCGGGAGGAAGTGGAAAGGCAGGAAGACCCGCCCCTTTCCCGGCTCAAGCGCCCCCTCGGCTCTCCCCTGCTAGCGCTCCCGGCGGTGCGACCCTGCCGCGTGTCGTAGTGCTTGCTCGGAGTTTCCTCCGAGCTTCTCGTGGCGCCTGCGCGACCCCGCCCATTCCCACGCGCGGGCTAGCGTCTCGGTTGCGGTCCGGCCCCAGTCCCGCGGTTCCCGGCTCTCGCTTTCCCGGCCCGGCCGGCAGCGGCTTGAGCACCATGGTAGGTACCGTGACGTCACAAGGGGGCGCCCGGGCGGAGCGCGGGCGTGCCGGCGGATAGTAGTCGGGGTGGCGTCTAGGCTTTGACCCGCGGGGTCGGAGTTGGGCCCAGGGGTCTTGCCTCCATCCTTAGTTCTCACGCCTCAAATTCTGGGGTGCGGGGGAAGACACCTGGGAGCAAATGGGGATTTTCCTTCTTTTGTTTTTTTCTTTTTTTTTTTTTTTAAACTTATGAGGGAAACAAAACAAACGCGGGAGTTGGAAACAAGGGGAGGGAAAAAGCGAGACCTCAGGAGGCTTTGGGAGGGTGCGAATGGGATACTTTGTACAATTCTGTTCACTGGGGCGAGTGGGCAGGGCCCCAGGAGAGGTGGGGGATTGAGAGACGCACCCGGAGAGCCCGAGGAGTGCAGGGCAGAGCGTCTCTCTGGGGCTTTCAGCCAGGGGCTCAGTGAAGGGTGCAGAATCATTTGCGCTTCAGGCGGTCGTCCCTATCAGTATTCTTTCCTGTGAAGTTTTGAGAACTTGCCAGATATGTGGTGGGGATCCCAATACCAGTATTTGGGGATACTGGCAAAGGAGCACTCCTCCCTACTGTGTGCCTTCCCATATGATGGTTCTCCCCCTCTCGCCCAATAGCTCTTCTATTCCTTTTTCAAGTCCCTCGTGGGCAAGGATGTGGTCGTGGAACTCAAGAATGACCTGAGGTAGGTACCCATTCTGTAGGGGGCGAAGATATGCAGGGCTCTGGAACCTCTTTGACAAGTATTTGAGGGCTGGGCACAGTGGGAGAGCTACAGAAGAAATAAATGACCAGTGCCTTAAGTTTAAAGTACTAGAAAGAGGGCAGCGCAGGCATCAATAACATTTTTTCCTTCTTTGCGAAACGAACATAGTTTTGGTTTTTTCTGACTAAATCATAGACTACGTTGACCCAGCTTACAGAAATGTACGAATCAGTGCCACAGGTAAAGATGTATGTGCAAAGAGGTTTGTGGTTTTACTTTCAATAGCCCCAAATTGGAAACAAATAGCTGTCTACAGGGAATGGGTTGGTGAGTTGTGGTACTTCCATATTATACAGCTGTCACAGAGGAATACGATGCATTGATATGGAGAGCTGTTGCAGAATAGTATATATGGCACAATCTTCCTTTTGTTAAAGAAAATGTAAAGGGTGAGCCAAAGACCAATGCAATCCCTTAGGTCTATGCTGCTTTTACATCCTCTACCCCCTTGTATCATTAGTTCCTAATTACTGTTCAGGACTTGGAGTAAATGCTGTATCCTTGGAGACACTTTTTTCCTGGTCCGTCTAGCCATATAAAGTCTGTCATATAGTCTAATTTTCTTCCTAGTGGGTGCTTCTCAAATTGTGGTTTCATAGAAATGTTTATGGTTTATGTCCTGTCCTTCCTACAGGGCCAGAACCTCAGCTCACCATTGTGTATCTAGCATAGGCCTGGTATATAGTAGGTGCTTAATAGCTGTGTGCCGAAAGAAAGAAAAATAGCTAACATTTGAGAACCTTCTATCAACTAAGCACTATTCTGAATACTTTGTATGTATGAATTTATTTAATTCTCATAACATGTCCATATGACATATACTATTGTTGCTGTCTTACACATGAGGAAACTGAAGCATAGACATACATGTTAAGAAACTTGCTCAAGTCTACACAGTTAGTGAATGACACAGTCAGAACTGAAGTCCAGTTGTGTCTGGTGTGTGCACACGTGTGTGCACGCTCCCTTAAATTAAAAACAGAGCAAGACAAATACCATATGATTTCACTCATACGTAGAATTTAAGAAACAAAACAAATGAACATAGGCGGTGGGAAAGAGGCAAACCAGAAAATAGATTCTTAACTATAGAGAATAAATTGAGGATCACTGGAGGGGAGGTGGGGAGGGAGTGGACTAGATGAGTGAGGGATATTAAGGAGGGCACTTGTGATGAACACTGTGTGTTGTATGTAAGTGTTGAGCCACTAAATTCTACACCTGAAACTAATATTACACTATATGTTAACTAGAGTTTAAATAAAAACTTGAAAAAAAGGGTCATATTCTTTATGCAGTTGTGAAACTTGCTTTTCATCTGACAGTATGTTGTGGATATTTTCCATGTCAATAAAGTTGATCTTTAACATTCTTAATGTCTGTATGGCATTTTTATTCGCTGGCTGGAACTACTTTAACCGACTTTGCTGTTGCACATTTAGGCTGTTTCCAGTCCCTTGTTTTTATAAATCATGCTGCCCTGGACATCCTCATGCATGCATCTTTGTTCCCATCTCGTTCTTTAGGAAAAAAAATCCTTTGAAGTGTACATTTAAAGTATCATTACTTATTACCTGACTCTCCTCTAGAAACTTTATTTTTTTAACTTTATTTTCCAAGTTTTTATTTAAATTCCAGCTAACATACAGTGTAATATTCGCTTCAGGTGTAGAATTTAGTGATTCATCACTTAACATACAACCAGTGCTCATCACAAGTGCCCTCCTTAATACCCAACTTTTTTTTTTTTTTTAATATTTATTTATTTTGGGGAGAGCACAAGCAGGGGAGGCGCAGAAAGAGGGGGACAGAGGATCCAAAGCAGCCTCTGTGCTGACAGGCTGACAGCAGCAAGCCTGATGTGGGGCTTGAGCTCACGAACTGCGAGATCGTGACCTGAGCCGAAGTCAGACGTTCAACCAACTGAGCACCCCAGGTGCCCCTCAATTTTTTTTAAGATTTTATTTTTAAGTGATCTCTACACCCAGTGTGGGACTCAACCCCACAACCCCAAGGTCAAGAGTCACACGCTCTACTGAGACAGCCAAGGGTCCCTCTTTTAGAAACTTTGAATCAGTGTATTCCCCACCCCCAACAATATCTTCCATGTTTCTTTGTGAGGTAATTTCTTAGTTGGGGAAACGTTGATGTCGTAAGGAATGATGAAGAGAGGGACTTGCCTTTATTTATTTTTAAGATTTTATTTTTTAAAGTAGTCTCTACACCCAATGTGGGGCTTGAATTCATAACTTCGAGATCAAGAGTTGCGTGCTCTTCTGATTGAGTGAGCTAGGCACCCTAGACTTGCCTTTTAGATCA